TTCACATCACGACTGACAGTGGAAATATTGATGCAGTCATATGCAATAATAAAATTCTCGTTCATGTGTAACTGCAATGAGAAATTTCGAAAGTTGGAAAATCAACTGATTTGTTGAGGCGTTTTAGGAAGACAGTCTTCGAAATTTTATCCATAATGACTGCTTCAAAACAGAGTTTGAGAAACAGATCGGATTTAACTGATTTAACGGCAGAACGCGTTTTTAATTATCCAGTCCTCACTGACCTACTGATAATAATGTGACTAATTTAGTTTCTTCAGCAGGAATTTCAGTCTGTCCATCTGAGTAAGCTGGAAGCTCGTAGTAGTTGTCAGAAGATAGTCTAACTACGTTTATTGCTTATCTACACTGATCATCAATGTGTGTCTGTAATTACAATTACTTTGGCGACCTGCTTGAATGTCTGTGCTACCTGTTCCTGTCATCTAGATATTTCAAAAAGGTATCTGTTTTCTTGTTTGTTTTAATAAACCATTATGTTAATTGTCTGTATAACTTATTGAGGTGAGTAATTATCAGTCTCATGAGCGCTAAGGTTTTCTTAGTGAAGATCGAAACCTACTGAACTGTAACACTATGTTGATGAGTGTCAAATAGCATGAAATCTAAGTTCATGATTTCCTGTAGACTAGCTCCAATAAAAAAAGTGAATACTCAACATATTGTGACTGGCGTTTATTTCATTAATCATGTTAACATGTTGTAAATGCTGAGGAAACTTTTTATTTTGGCATAAACGATATCTTAACCGAACTTATTTTCACATCTCAGTACAGATATTCTCTTTGTAGGAACCTTTATTGTCGTTCTTCACAGAACATTACTTTATCAACATAAAAATGAATTTCAACATAATTGTCTAATAAAAAAACATTAGTTTTACAATTATTATTTCGCACCTAATTTATTTACACTGACGTATCAGTGTAAGCCGACATTCATCAGTGATGAAGTAAGGAGTATTATGCGTTGTGTATGAACAAGGTGGCTAAACAGGGATTTTGATTGCCCTAATTTTTGTCAGCACGATACCGTCACATAAAAATTCCCTTCTGGTAGGAAATAAAAGACTTTCATTGTTTTAGTTTCTTCATTTGTTGGTGGTTGAAATCACACTATGATAAAAAATAACTCTCCCAAATTATTCAACATATTCATCGCATAAACTTATCGGATAAACATAATCCGTAACTGGTACTCAAGTATCGCTAATCAAGGTAAAGAAAATAAACGACTCACCTTCATTTCATTATTACTAGTAGAAATCGGAATTTAATGAAATGTGATGTCAAGACATTTCTCAGTACGAATTTCATTCAAAAGACGTCCGTGGTGAAAATTATATTTGACATGCAATTGTTATTCAACTATGACTTTTGATGTGTTAGAAGAAATATTTTCTGTAATCAATTAAAAGTTATCTGCATTTACACCTGGATGTATTCTTATTGGAACAGAGACATATACAAACACACCATATACACACACATTCAGAAGTATTCAACGAATCGTTTTCTGATTAAGTGAATTTTACATTCCATTTAACCAGAGTAAAAGGTATATATACACACACAGAATTTCAATGTTACAGAACGACACAGACCGAGTAAAATGAATGCGAATCTTTCACATTTGCTTTTAGCCATTGTGGTCACCGTCACTATTACCGGTAAGTGTTGCTTGTTAATGTATGTAATTTTATGTTTAAGTAATTTTTTGTCAATAACAAGTGAATGGCTAACTATTGATATAGTGTGATGCTGGTTCAAGTCCACCACTTATCAGTAGTACTCTGTGGATTACATTTACTTTTTTCGAACCAGTGCCAACCAATATGAAACGTAGGTGAATTAAGATGCTCTAAAATCTACTTTCAACTACTTTCAGCAAATGAGCGTTATGAAACTGTTCTCAAAAACAATCGTTAAATATAAGCAGCAAGGTAATAATGGATGTAATAAATATTTTGAAAGAAATGTGTGTTCATCGAAAGGCTCTTGCAGATCACAATTCTTTGCTCTAAAGAGATATATGTTATCTCATGCATATGAAGTTCTAATTAATCTTTCAAATTTATCAAATATTATCATGACTTGTTAGTAAACGATTCATTTGAATCTTTGGCACATTATTCACTACCTACATTTTCTTTGCATGAATGATGACTTCCCATTTCTTTTGAAGTCAATTTACAACTTGCATTGGATACTCTAATGCTTAGGACAGACTCATGAACATTTAACAAAGTGGCACAACATCCACAGCTTTTATTGAAGACTTGTTTGTGTGAAGCTTCATTACAAATATGATTGTGTATGTGACCCAAGTACCATCGTCGATAGGGAAGTTACTTTCAATGAACCACATTAAATTCCTCTATTGACTAGTTTGTTCTTAATTTTCAACATATGACGTTGGAAAAATGTGTTGGTTGAAGTAAACGTGTTTTGCTTTGTGTGCTGTAGTTCAAATTTGCATTTTCCGATCTACACAAACGAATCTGATTTATTACAATTGCACATACAGTGTAACATCCAAACGTCGTTTGTTCCCGTGGTGGAGAGTACCAATTCGTATCACTTTACACATTCATAATACCATTTTCAGCCATTTTATCATTATGATGATCATTGTCATTGTTAACTTAAGTTTCCACTAGTGAGCCAAAAGACACTCACGCACGACATAAAAATACCTACAACTTATGTGTTTTTATTATTTGGACAAATCGGTGTACAAATGAGTGATATACAACAAAGAAAGTGAAGTTAATTGATTTCATGTTACTGAGTTAGTTAATCTTAATTCATAACATGTTTTCGATGGAACTGATGGCATACATTTTCAGTGTGATGATCTGAGAAGATATCGTTTCATTTATATTTTAGGCATTCAAGCTTATCGTACAGGTGCTCTTGACAGACGTAAGTTCAAGTTTGTGAGTTGTTTCAATATTCTGATCTATTGAATTTGTATAACATGATAAGACTAACGTTAGTTAACTTCCACCATCGCGATTCCAGGCGAAAAGAAGAACAGGCATTTCTCCAGTAATGTACAGCTTAAAAATACTGACGAATGTTTACATTTGTAAATCAGAATATAAATTCGACAAACTCATTTCCATTGAGGTAGACATTTGAATAACCAATGTAGATATGTAGTAGAAAACGTGCACACTCGTTCAAAGCATTTGAATGTTTGTTTCTCATTATGTAATTACATCAGTCGAACAAATTTAGTCTTCGCATCCATCACTGCCATTAAACTTACTAATCAGAATAATGTTAAATGCGTTCTATTTCAACGATTGGTTTCTGATGAAATTCACCACAAAATATCAGTTTTTAACAATTATGAGAATGAACTGCATTTACATTGTAACCATTTGACAAGCTTTTGTCTGTGAATGATTTAGCTGTTAATGAAAGTGACACAAACGCAGGAATAAACGCCTTCCGTAAGTATTATTATTATTTTACAACTGTATTACACTGATGAATTAGTTGGATGACCATTCAGGATTAATCGTTTTTTGTAAATACTGACAATGATTCAACGACGGTTGGTTGATAAAACCTTTTTATAAATTTGATTTGTGCACAAATTCGTACGTAAGTAGTCATATACACGCAAACATTATGCATTACAAGCTCCAAATGCAAATAGAGGATTTCTCGACAAGTCAATGTCTAACGTTGAGTTGACAGCACAGGTTGTTGTTTTCACGAAGTTAATGCATCATAACATGATAAGCTTTTGAAGACGATATCCAATGAACATGGACATGCAGTGAGTGTTTTTGTTCCGACTTTTGTAGATGACAATGATCCAGGTGTTACAGGGGACATTTCTTTAGGTAAGCGAATGTCGACAAAATGACTCGATTATATGGTTTTTACTTTCTTCTAATAACTGATTTCATAATGACTCGGATATCACTTGTAATTTCACGACAATGACTGTGATGGAGACAATGCGGCATCCATATATGTTTGAGGAATTCATTTTAAATACCGATTTAAATGCGTTATCAAATCCTCACTGATTAATATGGATTCCAGTACAGTGGATATGACAGTTTATTACAAACGAGTAAATGCGAAGCAGCTTCAAAATGAGCACGTAGACACCGACACTCACAACATTCTACTGAAGAACCCAGGACAGAGAACAGTCGAACTTTCGTTATCTAATTACTGTCAACATTCATTGATCACCAACTCACTTGACACGGAACACTAATAGATGGCTTACATTATTTGTGAGCAATTCATTGATGTTGTATTGCCCCTATGAAATTGATGTGTTTTCGTCACGCTCTCTCTGAAATCAAGTGGCATGTTAGACATGACTGCTAGAATTAGCACAATATCATGTGAAGTGGGAAATCGTGAATGAAGATGCTCGATAATTTACACCATATCATATGTTGTCAGATCTAGTTGGATTAAAGAATCAATTCATTTCGCTGTTATGTCGCACAGGATTTTTATCAGTCTACATAACGTGTCACGGAACGTCGTTTTTATTTCCCAGATATTGCAAGTGCTCGAGGATTTCAAGTGTCAGACGAAAGTGGTCATATGTTGTGATTTTGTTATTTTCATGTATGAACACGTTCGCGTGTAACGATCATTAATAATAACGATCCATATATATATTAAAATTATGAGTGCAAAACAATAGTCGAGATCCTAGAATAATATCATTGTTGTGAAATTTTGCTTTCAGCGATGTAGAATTTTCAGTATTTTATTATGAAGGCTTGTGATTCTTGATCAACTGAACACAGTATACGCATTCGTTCTGGCTGATAGATGCATAAATGCGATCCACGTTAGGTGTGTTTCATTTAAACGATTGCTTTCTGATAGAATTCAACGCAGTAACTAGATGTGAAGCAAACAGGCATTTTAATAATATGTACATTATGAAAATTCCAATCATCTTTCGTCTTTTTTTTAATACGGCTTTAGATTCAGAAACACTCTGTACAATTTTTATTACACTGAGTAAGTACTTTATCCTTGATTGAATGACAATATTCAATGAACGGTGAATCTGATGATTTTCATTTTTATAATACTCAGAAGAAATATATGAAGGTAATTGCATGAACAACTCAAGTATTAGTAAGTTGGATTTAATCTCTTGTTTGCTCTGTCTAACTTCAAATCTGACTTAACATAAGACGTTAATTGAAGCAGGGCAAGACTTCTCAATCTGTTTTGATCTACACAATAGTATTTGAAACGAATATAAATTTATCAGTCAATGTGTGTGTGTGAATTGTGGTGAATGTTTTTTGTGCTGAATAGGCGACACGAAATTCGCGTGTGCGATCCGCGTTGAAGTCACGAGTGTGCACTTCTGAGTAGTCTCGTACTAGAACAAAACATCTGTGTTGTGCTTGGTGTTCTTCAATGGTTGCTTGAACAAAATCTGTTGATTATTTAAACTAGAAGATGAAAAGTGTCAAATGAGATTTGCTACAAAATACCAGTGTACAGAAAACAAGTAAATATATCTTATTCACATTCGAACAGCTCTAACAATTCTTCATCTATCAATTATCTAGCTGTTGGTGAAAATGACGTGAACTCAGCATTTGACCAGATGTGTAAGTCATGATAACACTTTTAATTAAGTTCAAGGAGCTCAACTTGACTCAAACATTTTATAACGGCTCAACAAATATATTGCTTTTTCCGATCAAATAATTATGGTTTAAAAGTAGGTAAACATGCAAGGATGTTTAGCACATGTGAGATAGGATCCAAATATCCAGTAAATCTCTGGTAACAAAAACAAGATACACCAAGTAAGTGCATGTGAGAAGGTTGTGACAAAAACTGTGTGCATAAAATTCACAACAATTCCATAGCGAATTATGTCATGTTTAATGGTGCTGTGTAGCATCATTCAATTATTATAATGCAGGTATCAAGAACTCTTTCAAGTAGGGTGACCACAAGGATGTGACACACATTCGATAGTCACTTTCTGGAATCACCAATAATCTTTATAATAGAGAAAGCTTACATCAAGCTCACTTATTGATTTAAGGGGAGTGAAAATATTTCTAATCAATGTGAGTGAAAGTCATTCGCTAGTCAGATTAGAAGTGGAAGTCAATGTGAGTGTCGTTCCTCACCCCACATTGTCTCTCTCACTGCAGACGAACATCCGGTTCAATTTGTTTTGTAAATTTGAAAAACAACTTTTTTCTATCAATGTCTAAAGCTTTTGTGGACAATGATTATTTGTGATAAATCACAAATAGCATGAATAAATCTTGTTGACATTTTGATGTGGCTGACATTTTCAATTTCTTAATTTAAAGCCTTCAGCAGTCATTCTGGTCAAAATAATGTCACCGATAATCGTAAGCTGAATTTCTTCCTATTACTGTAATGATGTTTTATTTGGTCAACTTTGTTTGAGGAGAATCGACACACACAAATCGATCTATCTATCTCAAGGTTCAGTCAAAAACAGATACACATGTGCATTGAATATGCGAGTGGAAAGTGACGAGGATTCGTGAACATCGCCTTACTAGAACTCAACATATGAAATACAGTTACAACAAATGCACGCACGCATATATGTCCGCATGGAATAAAAGACATCAGTAATCAGCTACATAAATGCCGTGAATCTATGGGGAGGTGTATCATGACTTACGAAACACGTTAAATAAAGTGAGAAGTGAGGTTTATGAAGATACTCACCATAATACATGACGTTCAGATAAACCACGCCTTGGAATAAACTTATGTATCTGTATTCCTAACAAGATGTTATGAAGTGACTGCAGTGTGGATACTTTTCAGTAGGCAGAGAAAGTGCAATGCAATAACCTAAGAAACAGGACGGATAGTGATTTATTTCAAGCTTTATGTAATTTGGTAAATGGACAGTTAAACGTAATAAATTATGCACTTCACACTCCCACATGTCTACATTCATTAACCGAAAAATGTAGACTACGCTTATTGATGTAATGTGTGGAGATGCTGCTGGGAAATCGGCCATGATCAACAAGTTATGAGAGTTCAAATGTTTTATGGATAACCACAAATTTGGTTATGAACCGGACAAATCTACCGAGTTTTCAGTTTTTCCTAAATGCATCGAATTGTAATTATGCGTCACTTGTCTGCTACTTAACTACCGAAATGGTTGTAAAGTGAATTCTTTCGACGTAAACACGCGATAACAAGAATGAACACGAACTGAGTGTTGTTTGTTCCGACATGTGTAGATGACAATGATCCAGGTGTTACAGAGGACATTTCTTTCAGTAAGCGAATGTCGACAAAATGACTCGATTATATGGTTTTTACTTTCTTCTAATAACTGATTTCATAATGACTCGGATATCACTTGTAATTTCACGACAATGACTGTGATGGAGACAATGCGGCATTCATATATGTTTGAGGAATTCATTTTAAATACCGATTTAAATGCGTTATCAAATCCTCACTGATTAATATGGATTCCAGTACAGTGGATATGACAGTTTATTACAAACGAGTAAATGCGAAGCAGCTTCAAAATGAGCACGTAGACACCGACACTCACAACATTCTACTGAAGAACCCAGGACAGAGAACAGTCGAACTTTCGTTATCTAATTACTGTCAACATTCATTGATCACCAACTCACTTGACACGGAATACTAATAGATGGCTTACATTATTTGTGAGCAAATCAATGATGGTGTATAGTTTGTATTAACATGATGATAATTTATCATCTGAAAGAAGTATACTCATTTTTTCTGGCTAATAGTTTCATAATTTTAATAAACGTTTATTGTTTTTCATTTTATTAATGGTCATAATCGCAGTATATCAATTTTCCACTCCTTTTGACAAATTCAATCAGTATTTTCTACTCTTTATTCAGAATTGCAAAGACAGCTTAAATGCTCATTCATATATGAATTCTGTAAGTATAGCACGTTCGATTGAATGACGATATTCAATGAACGGTGAATCTGATGATTTTCATTCTCTTAACTTTCAGTTCACCCTCATATACATGACTGCATGAACAACTCAAGTATTAGTAAGTTGGATTTAATCTCTTGTTTGCTCTGTCTAACTTCAAATCTGACTTAACATAAGACGTTAATTGAAGCAGGGCAAGACTTCTCAATCTGTTTTGATCTACACAATAGTATTTGAAACGAATATAAATTTATCAGTCAATGTGTGTGTGTGAATTGTGGTGAATGTTTTTGTGCTGAATAGGCGACACGAAATTCGCGTGTGCGATCCGCGTTGAAGTCACGAGTGTGCACTTCTGAGTAGTCTCGTACTAGAACAAAACATCTGTGTTGTGCTTGATGGTCTCCAATGGTTGCTTGAACAAAATCGGTTTTCTATGATTGATGCTACTCTGTATTTTAAGTCGATCGCTCAACATTGTCTTCAAGTTCATGTATGGCAGTGCAGACTTAGCAAGCCAATCGTGGTTCTTTTTAACGACGCACGTGGAAATCGTGCTTCATTCACATTATCAAACTTTTATCGAAGTTTCGTGGCGACTTTTCTAAAGGAAGGGGACTTGTTCACCAGTGAATTTAATTCAAAACACAATACAGGCATTACTTTGAAAAAATCGAGATACATCGATTCTGCTGGACAAGCGATTGCATGAAAAGCCAGTTTGCTGACCAAATCACATATTTGAATTCATTTGAATTTTTGACATCCATGTTGATTGTAGAGGTAAATGTGATGAGATTAAGTTCATGTTTGTAAGTTTTTTTTTACATTACAATATATTGACGTTGGATGATGTGATAACACAGATATCATGTGCATCACCTCTTACGAGATTGTGAGTGAATATCAACACGGATTGCGGAGTGTTAAACATTTAAAAGAGGAAGGATGCATACGTTTGTTGATACAATCGTCGATAAGATGTATCTGTTTAGTAATTGACACGACACTTACATGTGTTCCAACAGTATGTTTCAAATATCTATCCACATACGTTGTCAAATTTTCACTCAATATTTCAGATTCCATTTCATTAGACAAAACAGATTGAACACAATCGCGTACATTTGAAACACCTCCCAACTGATCATCTTGACACAGATTTCCATAATCTTCCAATTATAAGCCCTCAAGAGTAAATAGAAGAACCCTTATAATCGGAGTAGCTGTTTAATGACCTTTTAATCTGACTCCAATTTGGATTAACGTTCAAATCTGCCATGAACATAGACCTAAAATTTGACTCCGTATATTACCTGGACTAACCCCGTTTGTGTGAAGGTCGTAACAAGAGGCCGAATACGGATTTCGTTGGATGAACTAGTTTATCCAGACAGACATTTAGAGAAAGAAGTGGGAAAGCCGAGAGAGGACGTCAGCTGGTTCTGATAAAACGTGACTGAATATTTATAACCTGACAAACATAAACTAATGTAGTAATGAATAGGGTACGCTATGTACACAAATTAAAAGCAGTCAGTGTGTTAACGTACCGATAATAGACAAACTCAAAATGTGACTGAAGAAGAGTGAAGAAAGTGGTCTGTCCGAAAGCTAAAATGACATGTGAGCTTGACATAGTGCCAGAAAATAAACCTCAACCACATCTCACTGTCGATGGTTTTCTCCATCAAACATAGATAGATGACTTTCAATATTTGTGAGTGTTTCAGTGACCTTGTGACATTTAAATAGAGATGATGTTCAACATTACCCCTTCTGCACGTTTATTGCATGAATTTGCGTTGGTCTCTTAAAGCAACTTTGTTTTTGATGTGAACTACTCAGAACTCCATACTTTTCTGTACTACTGGCTCTGATTCTTCCACAGTTCGAATATGATACTGCCAGATCACTTCACTGATGGTCATAGTCTTCGCCGATTCATGTAGCATCATGTTTTGTTGGGTGTTAACAATAGTCTACCTAGTCACTTCAGTTTGTTGCATTCAAATTTTCCGGCATTTCACTTAATATTCCAGTTTGTTGTTCATCGATTTCACTTCGTTTTTATGGATTTGACAATTCGGATTATTGTCTTATGCTATTCAACTTTGCAGTCAAGAGAATTTCACTTTTCTTTCAGTCTCTGATTCCTTATTCATCATAATTTTGTGTTGATTTGTTTTGTATATTTCAACAAACGTTTGTTGATTTCATATTGATATGTTTAGACGATAAATCAGTTTTACTCACGTTATTCATACTACAGTGAGCTTAGTTAAATCAAGTGTGTGATAAGAATCATCATGTGAACTGTTCAAAACCATCGTTGCGAACCTTTGAACATCTTGAAAGTTTAATCTTATATTTTCGCACTATTCATTTGCTCGTTTACATTATCATTTGATGTAGTGTCTTATCACTTATCATTATATTGCATAGATGTGATTTGTCTGCAAGTATATAATCCTGCTGATTACCTATGTACATTTATATCATTCTCTAGGAGATCGTCCATATGAAAATGGAAATTAATTCAAGGACAAGAATAGCTTGGTAGCGTAAGAGCATGAATAATTCAATTTATTAAGTAAATTTAATTGTTCAGAAAATTTCTAGTGTTCAGTATTATTAATATACAGTAATTACAAATTTCATGCAATTGGTAACCTATATGAATTTGAATAAAGTCAGAAAAAATTATTGAGGTGGAATAATATGAATTCATCATATTTCGTGGGTTCTCATCAGTTGTATAAAAGAATTTGTGAAGAGATGTGTATAAGTGGGTGGTGGCTATCAGTCGAATCTTGGTTGCACGTTTCATCCTACTTGGGACTTGTCATCTGGATCTAACTGCATCTCGTAGTTGACGTTCACTCCGGGATTGGCTTCAAACGCCATTGCGTTATCCACTAACCTACCGTGTCTAGGAAGTCACTAGTCTGTTCAATGGAGTGAGGTTTTAATTCATTTCGTATTGTCCGTTTGAAATTTATCATTGGAGTTTAAGCTTGCAATTGACCAGTTTTTTATTGGCACATGAGCATCGTGTGCGTATTGCTTTGATACTATCTTAAGTCACCTTCGTTAGTTCATTCTTTGCTGAGTACGATTTCACTCTCAATAAGCATGAATAAATTTAAATATATTAAATTCTTACTTCATTATTTTTCAGATACATTCGCGAATTCCGTTTCTTTTTTGATCAAATAGTTTAGATGTAAAAACATTGTTGAATAAAAATTATATCAAACTCGTCAACTACTTTGTATTCCAAATACACGTTAACCTTAATTCCAAAACCAACTTAATTTTTAGCAAATATTTGAACTTCATACAATGATACGTATGAATGGCTGCATAATGTTAGTCACAGTATCCACACTCTATGTCATAATACACTGGCATTCGGTTTCACAAATTGTCATTTTGCTGTTTTGGCTGCTGGAACCACATCTATCTAGAGATCCGTCATTCGAATTGGCGAATAAGATAAGATCGACATACCAAGTGATTATCTAAGAGGAAGCACAAATATTGAAATGTAGGGTGTAGATTTTAGTAGTTCGAGAAAACCAGAAGGTGGATCAGTTAAAATAAGTAGTTTCAAACAATGAACCGCACAAAACGAAATAAGCGCGAAAACAGTTGAAAAATTTCTGTAACAGAGGAATTTAAATCTTCGAATAAGTGTGTGAAGAGAGTGAGAAAGTTGTTGTGTGTCCATACTACTGATATTCTTGAAGATTATTCAGATGTGAAGACAAGGCATTCGGTTACACCATAACAATACTCATCCGTGAATAATATAAGCACAGATGACTATCTGTTACATTTGATTATTTGATATACACCCTATGGTTGGAATCAGTTCTGGGGAGATCGTGGTAATTTTAATAGTTGAACGAAACGGTTACTGAATGGATCCCTTGTTACAGTTATAGTTAGCCAAAGTACGTTCAGTTCAGATGGATGGAGAAATTGAGTTGGAAAGGCTACCTCATAGACTGATATGGTGATGCTATACAAGTATTCTTCTGCCTCAATTTCGGTTGACGATCCTGCTGGGAAAGGCTGGATGACAATGATATCTTAAGCTCTAGACCTACCAAGAGAGATTTTAAGGTTTGATGGTAATGCCACGATTTATTAGAGTTTCATATGCAATTTCGAAGACTGTTTTGGTGAACGTGTTAGAACCGGATTTTGTTTGAGCTATCTAGTTCAGTATTGTGACAGTGAAGCTACGTCAACTAATGTTAATTGTGACTTGCTCAAATCAGAAGGCTGTCGTAAGGTGAGATAATACTCACACAGAGGAACTATGTATTCGACCTGAATTCTACAAAGACATCGATATTATGTTCTTAAAACATCTTTTACACCTGCAAAGAAAATCGATGGAAGTGGTATGTGGGATTTTTAAGGCGGTTAGAGAGCATTTGCGAATTTTTGAAAGAGCATTCGGATATTGCTTATACCAGATACGGATTACTTGTCAGTGGAGATCCCCCTAATGTCGACCAAACGCATTCGGCTGTTTGTACTAAAAGACACCTCGATTCAGAGTATAAGACAAGAGTGTCGTCCGCTAACAAGAGTAGGTCCGATGTTGCTACACTCGTATGTCCAAACACTCCTAGGTTGTTATGTTTATAATGTGCTGAAAACAACCCCTCAGACCAATGTGAAAGTTCTAGAGATAAGGATATTAATGAAAAGATGGAGTTTGCACTAAGAAGGTTGTATATCTTTTGTTTTAAGGAGAATCAAATATCAAGAAACTGTCAAGCACCGCGTTTATGTATCGTTGGAGCATGTGGCTAGAGACTCTACATCTTGTTACAAAGGAAACGGGAAGAGCGGAGAGAAAGTAATAGTAATACCCACAATAATACTCAACTCTTTACGAAGAGAACTGTTAATTGTGCACAGAGGCAAGTAGCATTTACTATAATGCTTGTATTCTTAAAAATGGAGAAAATCGGGTGAAGACTTGCGATTACCTAGATAATGACTGATACGCTTCGCTTATTTCAGAAGATCTTTCTAGAAGGCTTAGTTTAGAGGGAGAGTCCAAGGCATTTTAATTGAAAACGCCGGATATCTTTTACACATTTCAACCAGAAGTTTCCTCTTTAGATTCTTCCTCACCACTCAGATGACATCGTGGTCTCACTTGCACGGTGTGACCCTTCAAAGAATTGACAACAAAGACGACGAATAGCAGATAGGGTGTAATTTACTTGGGGCAAATGAGGTGAAGGAGGAGAGAGTGGGAAAATCTAGCAAACCATACGCTATAAAGACCACTTTCGAATGGATATTTGTTTGACTATGTAAAGAATAGAAAGGACTCCAGGAAACAAGTTGAACGCTCAAGCGGATAAGATGTTCTTGAAAGTGCGCGAATTCATAATGACCCATACAAGGACGAACGTTTTGTCTTATTCACCTCCTACTACATTCGACCTAAGGTGGATTTCATCTTCAGTTGTTTTATCATGTAAATTATTTTTCAAAATAAGTGTTGCCAGATAACTGTTGGCTCAGAGGTATTATGCTTTGCCGATGCCTTAGAATTTGCATGTGGTGTTATGGCTTATATCCGTTTTGAAGATGTCTCTCGTCAATTTCGTTGTTCCCTGCTATCAGCTAAGTGTGGAGTCGCTCAATGAGACATTTATCTATTCCCAGAAT